AAAGAGTGTGTCCGTGGTAAGGAGGTGATTCCTGGAAGGCTTGCAAGGGTAGCAACGTCCCGGTCTGATCCATTAACTTGGGTAAATGTGTTCTTCAGTGTCTCTTTCTTTACTGGCAGGAATCATGTTTGTTGTGGTTTTTTTTTCTGCTCCCCCTCCTTCCTTTCAAACATCTGGAAGGAAAAGCACTAGCAGACTGGGATTATTTCTCAAATGCAGACTGAGAACGTCTTATACCAATAAACAGGTGTAAGTGGTTAGAATTGTGGGTGCTGATACAAACTACATGACATGCTATTTCAAGCAAATGTTTTATAGAGAGATTGCTTTTCAGCCATGTTGTTTCTGCCTCCCTTCAGGGAATTTGGCTGCACTTTAAGTTCTGAATTTACTGTGCGTGAACTTGTTTCTTCTTTCTGCTTCCACTACTTCTTAGATATACCACTATACCTAGTGGTATCGTCTTTGAAATACAGTTCTGCCTCTGAAGGTTCAGAATCTGTTACTGAAACAGATAGGGTAATAGAACTTTAGGCTTAAAAAGTGAATGCAGGAAAATTCAGTGCCTGCAGTAGTTTAAGTGAGTTCAGCTCAGCAACCCCCCAGAAAGGTTGTGGTCCATTAATATTTCAGCAAACTTAATTCTGGCTTAATTCTGCACCCCCTAGGAACAGGGTCCTCCACCAGAGGACTCCAGTGTCACGCACTGCTGCGCGGGCCTTCCTTGGCGCTGCCTCAGGTCTTCCTGAGCTCCACTACGACGTGTAAAAAAAATTGATTCTTGATCATCGGCAGGCTAGAAAATGAATGTACATTTACTATGGCAGTTTACGAGCAAAGAAGCTGTAGGATCATTTTTCTGCCTGATTGTGGAAAATGGGAACCTCCCTTATTAAGAAAACGATAGTGAGGACAAAGACGCCTATTTTATCTTCAAAGACCAAGTGCACTTTGCTTTTAGGTTCGTCTTGCCTTAAAGCATCCAGGGCCAAAATGTGTGAAGGAGTGTCTACATTTGTGCTTGGAATTACTAGTGCAATTACTCGCATAGGCCCCATCATCTTGCTAGGACAGAGTGGGACTGTGACACTGTGCTGGGGTTTCTCATCTATGGATGTTCAGCACTTGCATTTATTCACGGATTGTAAGGTTGTATGACAATGTTCCTCTAAGTGCCTTGTATGTGAGTGTGCATGTGTGTGAGCTGTGCAAAGCCAGTGGCTCCAGCTGAAAACTCTTCAGGGACCTGTTTGTCAGGGGGGTTACTATGAAGTAAATATCCAGTGCATATGTTTGCACGGACAACTTAGACCTGCTGCTGAACAGTTGGATTTTTAATTTTTTTTTTTTAGTTATGCAGAAGTTCGAGCTGAAAGAAGGCGAGATCTTGGCCTTGAAGAGTCATCAATTGAACTGGCATCCTCCTCTTTAAAGGTACCATGTGCCTTCACAGTTCAATGAATAGGCTTTTAACCCACACAGAGTAATTGCTTATTAATCTTAGGAAAATATCTGCTCTTCCTCCTTCTTCTCCTTTACCCCCCTCTCCCACCAAGCCATCTATTGGGCTATGACTCCAGCAGACCCTGAGAATTTTTTGACACTGCATGGCTCTAAACTGCCCCATCTTGGTTCGGGCATAAAATTGCAAATACAGTAGTTGTATTGCTGCTGTTCTGAGTTTCTGGATCTTTCTGAGACCTCTACTCAAATGATAACGGAAACCATCTCAGTTCAGGAGGAGAATAGTAAAGGTGGAGCTGGAGCATAAGTTGATGTCCTTATCACCATTACTCAGCTGCAACAAATCTGAGTGGGGGGCAGCACCCCAGGGAGCGCAGCCCTCTTTTGCTAATGCTGGCTCATCAGTGGTGATCGGGCAGCGGCTGGCGGGGAAGGGGAAACGATGCATGATTCTTATTCCGGACTCCAATTCTACTTCCACTGTTGGGCAGGATCCCATCCAGCGTGGGACTGTGATCAGAGCAGTAATTGCCAATGGCTTGAATCAGTCTGGCATCCCAACACACCTCCTCAATTAACAGGGTCATTTCAATTACATTTAATTTCTTCCTCCTAATAGTTTACAAATAAGACCAGTAATCAAAGTGATTTTAAGTGGATTGTTGTGTAATTATCATCCCATTAGCCTCATTGGTCTTCAGATATTATTTTATAGAAACCTTTTGGGGGAAGAGCAGGGTAAGCTGTCCCAAAGACCTTTCTGTACTCAAGCAAAGACCATTCTGCAAACAGCTGCTTCTGTCTCACCACAGCACAGTTCCTTCTCTGTCTTCTTCCCCTCCCCTCTCGATAGCTGAGATATTTCTCTACAGACATTAAGCTGCATCTGTATAAGGTGTTGGTAGCTGGAAGAGAGGCAGAGGGAGCAATTGCTTCATCTTCTGGAGGGGAGCGAGCAGCTGGGGAGCTCCCAGGAAGGCCTGTGGAGGGTGATGCCGTGGGCAGTGTGATCACCCACATCTGGAAGGTGGAAAGTCTCCTACTAGCCATCCAGTTAGGGGCTGTTTGCCATAAACCACCTGCCACATGGCATCTGTTGTTTTGGTATGAGACCTCCACAGCCATTAATAATCATTAGATTAGGCTATCCCCCTCCACAGATACGCTGCCCACAACAGCGTGCTCAGAGTGACTGCTCCCAAGGGTAAGGTGAGCACGGTTACAGATATCACCATCACCTGGTACCTGTCTTCTAGCAGGAGCCATTTGCCATATTTTCTCATCGGACTATCCCCATGCCACTGGACCGTGTCTCTTCCCAACCATCTCTCATCACGTCTGCAATGAGTTACGCCATTCCCCAGCCAGCTCCTCCTGCCATGTTCATTCATTATGTCTGCCACCACTCCCCAGCGTGCTAGAGCCGGCGAACTGTGACATCCCTGAGGAAAACTGGAAAGGAAGCTAATTATAAAAGCATATTTCCACTTGCACGCAGCCCTGCTGGCAGCCAGCAGGGAGGAGCGAGCAGCGCGGCAGCGCGGGGCGCAGTCCCAGGGCATCTGCCCGTCGCGCGGGG